TTTGTTTTTTTTTTTTTTTTTTGTTTCACATTGCTCTCAAAGCCAACTGGCAACCTTTTGTTTTGGGCTGTACTCAATTTCTCATCCTTTCTGGTGGCCAGGACCGCATGGCAGAGGTTTGGGAACTTGATCCATAACACTGCATAAATTGCTCACACAATCAGCTGTGTCAGGAGGAGGGGAACTGGGGTGCTCGTAAACACACGGTCTAGTTAACAAATGACATTTCCCATAGCTCCTTTCTGCCAGCACATAATCCTCTTCCCCTTCCCGATCCCCTCTGAATAATCTTTACTACGTGCTCTGTCCTAGCTGACATTTATGGAAGCAGCAGAGAGTATTCTGCAGGGAACAATCTTCCGTTGGCACAATGGGGGAGAACACAAGATGATCTAATATGCCTTTTCTGTCTCCGCTGCCTATTTTTAAGCTTCTTTGTTTTTGGAATCCCAGCTGCAGATTTGCTTTCATAGCCTCTGTCCCTTTTCTTAGCACATCATCTTCCTGCAGACAGAGTTTTTGTACCTCTGAACCCCCACAAGTGCTCCTTCTCCTTTTTCCCTGGACCACGCTCTCCGTGCGTCTCTCCAAGCCAAATGCTGGTTTGCTTTCCCCTGGAACAACTACTCTCTTCCTTCGTCTCTGGTTCTGGTGGGTTGCGGTGCCTGCAACTTGAGCCTCAGAAATGCTCTTTGGAGCAGATGGCAAGTTTATTGCCACCCCAAAATCAAGCTTCTCTGCTTTGCGCAGGGCTCTGTAAATAAAACCTTGCTGATACCACGTTCTGCTCACGGATGCTGGGTTTGCAGGGAAGGAAGGATCCTGCCATGGGTGCAGGGCAGCAGAGGTTACAGCCCCGGTTGGCTCTCCCTGTCCGATCTTCTTTGTGTTATAGCCTGACCATCTGCAGGTGAAGAGGGTCACATTTTTATTATTATTTCTGGTGGCTTAATGACAGTTTTAGTTAACCACATCTGGCCCAGAAGCACTCTGTTATTGCTAACTTTTGTATCGGGGCAGGGCTTATGCAATGGAAAGGCTCTGAATGATCAGAGAGCCCACTGAGAGGCGGTCAGAGGGAGCTGGCTGGGAGGCAGGACCGGGCAGCCGTAAGTGTCCGTCCCTGTGCAGGGAAGCGACGGCGAGTGGCAGCTCAGCCTCGCTGACCTGGAGCACAGCTGGCCCTGGTCTCTCTTCACTCCGCCGTCCCTCCCTGTCGGTCTCTGCCTCGGTTTCCTGGTGCCAAAATAGAGGTGGTGAGTTCTGGCGAAGCATCAGGCTGCAGAAGAAAACGGGACAGAGAAAGCAGAGGGCTTTGCTGGGGCAGTGGCATGGGAAGGGGGTCAGCTCTCTCACCAGCCTCTTTGGTTGGGTGCAATATCAGAAGGTAGTAATGAGAGCTGCCGGGTGGAAGTGAAAGGGTAGAACTTTCCAGATCCCCTCTTCTTTTGCCTCAGAATGAAATTGGTATTCAGCGTGGCTGCTTGTCTAGACACCCAGCCTTGTAGAGAGATTCGCCAAGCTCCTTAGCTCGATGAAGTGACATACGTGTGATTATCATTTCAACCAGGGATATGCCTGATCGTGCTAATACGAGCCTGCGGAATTACTCACACCCATTAGCAACACCAGCGTCTGCAAGGTGCTGTGTAATTGTGCCCCAGGCCGGGGCTCTGGCCGACTCGTAGCAGTAGTGGCGTAGAGGAGTCTTGGACCTTGAGTGGCAGAAAGCTCCGGTGGCTCAGCTGATGCTGTACACAGTAAGCTTGGTCTCTCCTTTCAGCGCCCAGTGGGGTCCATGTCACCAGAAGGTGACTTTTCTACGGTTGCTGATTTTCTAGCCCTCATTTGTGTGCAGAGGGAATAACAGGAAGGTGAACGTGTGTTGAAGTGTCAGCATGTGGCTCAGGAGACGTAGGCTCAGCCTCCAGTTCGTGCATTACCTGAGTGGGAGCAGCTTGGGCTGCTCCAGGAAGGAATGGATTTCTGTTAAAGCATTTTTAAAATGCAGGCAATGGTTTGGGTTAGGTGTTGGCCTCCGAATCAGTGCTTGCTAGCAGGCTCTGCTCACCTCCATGCCCCACAGAGGCTGGTGGTCTCGCAGCGGCAGCTTTACGGGTCCCAGGCTGCTCTTGCCCCTTGTCATCCCGTGCCGGTCCGGACGGGTGGGCTGTGCATCTCCAGAGCGAGCGAGATGGGCTGCCCCTCGAGCCAAGAGTCAGAGAGGGATGGGAACCCGCATGGTGTTTTTGGAGGTAGGTCTGGGTTTGGTTTCCCAGCTCATCTGAATGCTGATAGAGGGGAAAAAAAAACCCAACCAGATTTGAGTGACAGACTCCCAGCGCCGGTTTTCCCAGCGGTAGGGAAGAGGGTAACAGGGCTTGTCACGTCTTGCAAAACTCCTGTAGCATAAATGAACGTGATTCTGTTCTGCCTGTATTTGGCGGCTCTTCATCTTTCTGTGACATGCCTGTCCCCTTTCTGCCTTGTTTGGCCGCTCTCCTGGCCGCAGAACTGAGGATCTCGGCAGGAACGGTGCAGAGCGTCTTCTCCGAAGTGCTGCCATCCTGAGCAGCCATTTGGCATTGTGCCTGTTCATCAGGTTTTTTTCCCTGAATTTCCCCCCTTACCTTCTCAGCTGTAATGCTAAATTTAGCCTTCCTTCTGCCACAACATGATTATACAATTTGCTGCTTTATGTAATCCAGAAGTGCTGTTGGAAAGGGGTTTCAGGTTGTTGCTGCTGTGGGATGTAAATATAAAACGTTATTGCTATCTAATCCTTTATCTCTGTGTGAAAACTTTTGAATAGTGTGTTGATGCATTTTGTGTTACAGATATTACAGAAAGTACGAGCCAGAGCCTCTTCCAGTAGAAACTGGCGTTCAGCGTTGGCTTTGCTGTTGCTGCACTGATAGACAGGATTTGAAAATCTGATCTTCTGTGAAAGTGGGCATTCATTGCAGCTTCTGGGGATGAACAGGGGGCTGGAGCTTTCGTAAATAGGAGAGCTTGGGATCTGGGCTTTCCGGCTCACTTATCACGAATCCATGATAAAATTGGAAGTGGACTCATTTCTCAGCGGTGGTTTTTTTTCCCCTCCTCCTTCCCAGCTCTCTCCTGTGGAGTTCCCAGAGCCCCAAAGAACGGAGTTGTCTTTGGCAAGGAGTACACAGTGGGTACGAAAGCCGTGTACCATTGCAACCAGGGCTTCCAGCTGCAGCCCGGGGAGGAGCCCAGCGCAGAGTGCCTGCAGGCGGGGCAGTGGAGTAACGGCAACCAGCCCCCGCAGTGCGTGGGTGAGTGTTTGCAGCCAGTGCAGTCCCACGGGGAATTTTGGAAGTCCCTTCAGTAACGTCCTCCTGCTCTAGCATAGACAGCTTTGCCTCACGGGTGCAGTATTTAGGACACCAGGTTTCTAATCCTGCATAACGTGGGTCTGGTGTACCCTCTCATGGTGTCTTGGTTTCCCCCCTGTAAAACAGAGATGCTAATACTGGCCCCCTGTTAAACAGCCAGCAGGCTTGCTGAAATGCCCTCAAGTGCCCTGGAATTAAACACCTATTAACGTCTTTCTGTCTCATTTCTTTTCCCTGACTCACCACCTCTGGTTTCTAGCTGTCACCTGTCCCGATATCAACAGCATTGCAGTTGAGCATGGTCGGTGGCGGCTGACCTACGAGATCCAGTACCACTACAACGCCCAGCTAATGCTCATCTGTGACCCTGGGTACTACTACACAGGCCAGCGGGTCATCAGGTGCCAAGCCAACGGGAAGTGGAGCATAGGCGAACCCATGCCGACCTGTAAAAGTAAGAGCAGTGAAGCTCAGGAGCCGTGCCGGGGCGGGCCGGCTTCACGGGACGTCTTGCAGGGGATGGGGTTTCTGGTTTCCATGCGGTGGCTGTGCAAGCTCTGCTGCTGGGGCGCAAACACACCACAGCCCTGGCCGCTCTTGGCAGCAGCTGAGAGCGCGGCAGTAGAAGAGCGCTTGGATGCATGGAGAGGTCATCTGCTGATCTGATTCTTGGTTTAATCTAAACAGTTCTGCAAGAACTCAAGCACATTAGCTCATCTGTTGCTGTCAGGTCCCAGCAGCTTAGCTGTCACTGGTGCCAGATGCTCTGAAGTTTGCTTTTAAGGAAGAAAATAAAAAATTCTGATTTAAAACCTAACCTCTTAAAAAAGCAAACGCCAAGTTTACAAGGGTAACAGTGTCACCTGTAAATCAAAAATACTCTTGGCAAACAAGCGGCTTGCTCAGTCATTCTGACATGACTGCTGTGCTTTGGATCTTTTCTTCTGTCAAAGGTGGAGTTTTTTTCTCTCTAAGTGCAGATAGAGACAGAAAAAATTTTCCTTCAGAATGGCAGCTTTCCCTTCCCTCCTGCCTCCCTTTGTTTCTAGAGATGCAACTGCCGACTTCAGTGACAGATGTAGTTTTACCCCTGCTAGCTCTTCAGCCAGATACGGGAGTGTGAGCCTGACCCCGTTTTATTTCTTCAGCATTATTGCCACCTAAATTCAATTGACAGGATCTTGGCAATGCACTAAGGTCTGAAGCACCCAGCGTGAGTATCTTGATTTCTTGCTGAGTGCGAAAGCTCCAGAGGGTTTGCAGATCTTTAAGGTAGGTAAAATAAAGAGCAGAAGTTTGTGGCTGGGAGCTGCATTTGCAAGGGCTCCTGGCCAGGCTCAGCTGCATCCTGCAAACCAGGCTTTCAGCTGGCTGTCCTCTGCGGGTCTGTCTTTAGACGTCAGCTCTGTCCTGGAAGTCGCTATGTGAGAAGAAGCTGGGTGTCACTTTCTAATTGGAAATCTTGTGCCATTTTGTGGTTTTTCTGGAAGTCAGGCTTCCCAGGTGTCTCTAGCAATGACTTAATAATAGAAATATTCCTTAATAATAGAAAAACTTCTGTAGTTTCTTCCTAGCCAGCCTTATCTTTAGTACTTCCCTCGCGTCCTGAAGCATAAATATTAATAGCACTTATATGTGTCACCTCATGTAACATGACTCTGAATCGTTGTTATTATCCATGTAACTATTTAATAATCTTTCCTACTCATTTCTGACTTCAATAATAACTTGCGGTGGTAAGCATCGCTGAGTGCATTTCCTTACATAACACATCTCCCTGCCTGTTCTCACTTACTGCGCTTTGGGATCTCTTTTAGTTATCTCATGCGGAGACCTGCCAACTCCGCCTAATGGGAACAAGATCGGCACGCTGACCAGCTACGGGGCCACAGCCATCTTCTCCTGCAACACTGGCTACACGCTGGTAGGGTCCCGTGTGCGGGAGTGCATGGCCAACGGACTCTGGAGCGGAGCAGAAGTGAGATGTCTGGGTAGGTGTGGAGTATCCATGATGTGGTGGGGCAAGAGTCCTGGTTGCGATTCAGGGGGGACAA